ATAATTCACCAGCGCCATGAATCGAACTCAAGATGTGCCGTGTGGAATACAAACTTGAAATTTGTTGTCAACCACTAGCACGAAAAGTTTTTCATTATGATCTGAACCACATCCCTTACAAATAGATTGTGTATTCCATCATGCGTCAAACCAAAATCACATAATTTTAGATTTTGTCAACCAAAATCACATAAGAACGAATGACAGCGAGAAGGCACTACTAAGGCAACCTGATAAACATGTTCAATGTCTGGTGAAAAATGTCAAATATTCAATGTTCGTATCATATATAACGGAATGAAACAAGCAACCTCAAAATATGATTGAAAGAGGTCGCTTAGGCTCAACACAACAAACCTTTAACATAAATGGAAACAGGCACCATCCCGGGTCAATCAGACAAGGAACCAAAATGTTCTTGATAGACATTTTCAAAGAAACGCGGATAGCTTTTTGAGAGCATTGCACAGAGCGTAGATGTAACTGCTTCAAAACTCATCATCGTCCTCCTCAGCTATGTGCTTTGCAAGCTCTTGCTCCTGTTGTTGCCTTTCCCTCCTCTTCTCAGCACTTTCTTTCTCCTTGTGGGAATTTGGCGGGAATCGAAGCGCTCGCACTGCATCATTGTGCAAATTAAGGCAAAATGCAATTCTCGTGTCGAATGCAGCTTGGGGCTCATTAGTAGAGTAGATATCCCCAGTTTCCTTTGACACCATCCATCCATTTGCATGATCCAGGGTCGCATCAATTGCACCATCTCGGATTGCCTTGGCGACAATGCTTTCAGCATCAGCAACCGGGTTTGGAGAGTCCAATCGCAACTTTTTAGCAACATCAACCAGAGAAATGCGGGAATAAGAGATGCTGATGTTACGCAACCCAGTTCTTATGACATTATGTCGCAGCCTAACAATCAAATTGTGGGTTCTGTCTGCATTGAATACATTCGAGAACTTCTCCGCAATATTTTTGAATAGCTCCAAGTCACCGATTCTCACAGCCTGAAAAAACAAATTGTCTTGATCAAAACCAGCAGTAGAAAAAAGCTCATGGCCTAATCAGGAGTTGATTCCAAGGAGGCCATCCCAGCGTCACATACTGCATTACTACTATTCAACAGAAATCATTATTCTCAAACTTGATAAGAGAGTAAAGTTTAGAGTTCAGAGTTGAAGGTTTTCGAGAAATCCAGACTTACATTTGTTAGTTCAAAGTATGGCCTCAAAGCCTTCTCCATGCCTTTTTGCATAAAAACAGTTCTCTCAGGGATTTCTCCAAGCAATAAGCGTACAATGATTGCCCACTTGTTGCATTGAATCCGAAAACCAAGGGCTGCTATAGGGGCTTTCCTAGCAGCTTGCAGGAGGGACTCCTTTGCATCAGTGTATTCCAACTGAATTGTTCTGATCTTTCCTAGGTAAAAGAGATACCGACAGAACTGCAAGAGAATATTGTCAAATCAGAATATGCATCTTGCAGTTAGAAAGAGAGGAACCACAACCGAGGAAATAGATGCTTTTGCTCTGATGTATACATCCTCTACCACAAAGTTTTAAGCTATTATAAATTGACTTTATGAGAACAGTCTGGTGGTAAATCTACATACTTCCCAATCACCCTCCTTGTTTCCCTTAAAGTTGCCAAGGAAAGATTAAAACAAGAGAAGTGAAGAAATTGTATACTTTCCTCTCAGAAATAACTAAGCTGATTCCCAGAACAGAAATTAGTAACATTTAATTTAAAACATTCTGAAATATAGACACAAAAGAAGAGTGGAGTTTATACACAAATTGCAACGTGCTAACAGAGCAGTAAAATGTTATTGATAGTAAGCATGATTGACCGTGGAAGAAGGCAAAACCACATGCTAGACCAACACGTTACATGAATATGATTAAGATATGAAATAGATCAAAGCTTTGCGATCCATTGATAACAAGCATGAATGACAGTTCAAGAACGCAAAAACACAAGATAGACCAGCATGCTATCACAATACGTCTTTCTTTTTCTATAATAAGAATTAAAAGAGAGATGAAGCAGTCAGAAAATACGAATGAACCCAAATAAACACTAAAGAAAGAAAAATATTCAAGAAACAGCACCCATCTCAAGGAAAAAACAAGTCACCAAAAACATCTCACAGTACCTATGTCACATCACCTTTATTACAAACATGCATAAGATTAGAAGTTGATTATAAAATTACAAAAAAAGACTGACCCATACATTTACATTCATGGTGATCAGATACATAGTTTAAAGCTACAGATTCAAATAATTGAGCCTGACCTGCTGGTTTGAGTGAGCCTCAAATCGGGGTGCCTTGGACCTCAGTTTCTCAGCCTGATCATACAGGTTATAGTGGAGGTAATTGCGAAGCAGAAGGTTAAGAAGTGTTTCCTGCATCACATTATTATCCACAAGTAAGAAACCAGTGGGATAGGCACAGTAGCTTACAATATCAAAAAATTACCTGGCCCAGCTCATCATGGCGCAAAGTTGCAATCCGGTGAAGATTCAGGAGATTTCTGTGAAGGAATGAGTGAAAAATTTAGTCGTAAAAGAACAAGTGAAATACGGAAAGAATACAAAGACATTTGTACCTAAATATCACGATAGCATTTAACTCACCCTCTAATTTCTGCAAGATCACCAGTGAGTTCATAGCTAAGGGAGTAATAGAAGTACAGCCTGGATGCCAGAACATCAATGGTTCTCCTATTCAAGTTCTTAATACGAGCAATGCTTGCCGAGGCACAAGCCTTAGCCTAAAGGGCAGCAAGTTCAATGTTATCACAAAAAATAAGAGCTTCAACTTTTAGTAAGTAAACGATCCAGAGGCAGATGTAATAACATGTTACAAGTATATTGCTTCACCTCATTGTACTTTTTCTGATCAATCAGAAAAATGAGCACAAGCAAGTAGGAGTACATCTCTAACTCTGGCAAGGCATGCTTTGCGGGAACTAGAGTAGCAGATGTTGCGGTATCAACATCCATATCCTGTTCATCATCCTGTACAACCAAATGTTCCACTTTCACAGTGTTCAAAACTAAACAAGAACATCAAATACACCAGCTCAAATCCAAAATTCAATATGGTATATCAAAAATCACCTTGGGAAGAAATGACAATAAGCGGCTATGAACCTCAGATCCCGGTGTAAGGGCAAAATTGAGGAATGCTGAAATCACAGAAACCTTCAGCTTCCGCCTCAACACCATCGTTAGCCTAACGGCACGCACAATTCGCCTAACCTCCCGGGTATAAGCAGCAGTCTCAAGGAGTGAAGCAATCTCCTTCAAATCTAACAAACCCAGTAAAATTTGAAAGTCTAAAGTCAAATCTCACATACCCAGTTCGACAAGCTACCGCTAACTTACTTAAACTATACAAAAAATGCGGGAAATTTAGGGTTTTACAGATACATGTACATATAATATTATGGATGCAGATGGTAGACTTACTGTGTAGTGTTGACGGAGAAGCCGAAGAAACTGAATTGGAAGGCGCCGGGACCTCCTTCATCTCCACGTCTTGAGTCATCTTGCAGTGACTGTTTCCAGATTACACAGAACGTGGATTTAACGAACGACGAAACGAAGATTAAAGCGAGAAAGTTGAAATTTGCAGTATGAATAAAGCGAATTTACCTTGAATTTGGCAGTGGCACGCGCTGATGGAAATCGATTTGGCGATGGAGGAACTAGGGTTTTGCTACGGTTTCCTCCTCTGCAAGTTTATGCGAGAAAGAGAGAGAGAGAGAGAGAGCGAGGAAGAGTGAGAGAGAGGAACAGAAGGCTGATGTTCATACGGCGTCGCTTTCTCTCTCTCTCCCCCTTATTTTTCTTTTCTTTTGTGATTTTATCTACTTTTCCAAATAAAAATCTGAGACAATTTCACTTATATGGAAAAAGCCCAACTGATAGTTATTGGATTGGTGAAATACTAAAAACTACTAAGGCCCAATCAAACAGCCCAATATGAAGGGGAAAAAAAAAGTAACAAACTTGTAACTCAAGTAATTTAAAAATATTTATCTCTACATTGAACTTTGTGTTCAAGTTTCAATTCACTTGCCATCCAATGCGTCCATTAGGTTTTGTAATTTTGCCAAACATGGGAGAGCAATGTATTTACTAAATTTAACACAGAATGACACTGAATTACTTTTATAATGATTACAAGAACGTCGTTTTTAACGTTGAATGCTTTTAGAGCCAAATATTTGTTGAAGAATTTCATAAGTTTTCCTCCACTCCCTTGAATAAAACGAACCCTCTCCATCTCCTCTCATTGGCATACTTTTTTCAACCCCCACTCAATCCTCTTTTATTCCTCCTCTCTTTCTTCACTTTTATCTTTCCTTTCTTGCCTTGAGCTTTTCAACAAGGCCTCGCCGCGACACCTTCCCAACACAACAGTCTTCTAACGCAGCGCAGCCGCCTTGCCCAATGTCCGGTGTCATGGGGTGGAGCGCGTCCTGATATATCAGGCCATTTATACAAAAGGATCTCCATTTTTTTCAAAAAATAGGGATTCAATGTAAGTTCCACTCCACATCGAATTTTAATGATCCGGACCGTTTATTTTGTAAGTCTCGATTCATAGATCATCTTTGTAAAAACTCAATTCAATCTGAAACCATTTGCCTATTTAATTTTTAAAATTTCGTTGTTTCTTATATAACAAAGTATTTGTTTATTTCTTTGAACTCAATTAGATGTCTTAAACATTTCCAATTTGGCTAAATTTTGCAAGAATGATCTATGAGGTGCAACTTGAAAAATAGACCGGTATAAAGAGAAAATTGGTTTGACACATAAGAATACTTGAAATCGGATCAGCAATGCATATGCAAAACTTCTACATTGTATTTGGAGATGGGATTGCGCTTTTAACCAAGAATCCTGCAGTATTGAATGGTAACGCGTACGCTGGAGGTACCTTAAATTCCTTCAAGTTTTGATATACCCCATTTTTCTGACCCAAAAACTAGATCAACTTTCACTTTACAGTAGATGGTCAAGTCGAATCTTTCAAAACACTTGCATTGTCCATTCAATTTAGTCAAGACAAATCTAGTAACAGCACTTACAGCACCCATCCATTTAGTAAGGGAACGAAAACACTCGAAAATTCAACAAACGAGAGCAGCCATCGGTCTGTAAACCCGGGTATCTGTAAATTCACTTCTCACTGGCTGTAAAAATTTCAAAGTAACCTACACGTAATTCTCACCCATCACATCCTTTCTTCTTTCACACAAAGCCCCGATGATGATTCACTGAAGTACTCTCACATGAAAATTGGACCCAAAATTCAGAGGCTACCACCAACAGGGCGTACCGGCTACTTTTTTCTACATTTTCAGCACTGCATATTTTATCCTATCTGCTGTCCGGGAATTTAGCCTCGTAGGTCTGGGGCAACTGCACGAATGAACAGACACTTTCATAAATGAGAATACGAAGCAAAAGCAATAACATATATGGCCGCCAAAAATATGAAATTACCATGAACGTTGTCTCGATCATCTTTCCAGCAAACCACCTTCCGTGGAGAACATGTCGAGCATTTAAAGCAGCTTCTATAGTTTCAAATCGTAAGTACACGTGTCCAGCAGTATTCCTGCTTGTTAACAAGAATGTGAGACATATATTAGAGCGAAAGGGCCATATAAATAATGCAAACAAAACTTACTTGTCCACATATATATGCTTCAATTTCCCGTATTTTGAACACTCCTCCTGAACATCATCTTTGATGTCCAAGTCAAAGTCTGGTTCCGACTGCTCAAAAACAAAACCGAGACAAGAATTCAAAGAATGGTACGGAAGTAAATTTAAACAAGAATTAGAAAAATCTGTACTTATCAAAGGAATCAACCACCAACCTCGGCTGTGGGATCAAACATATTTTTCAACAGTAAACATTCGCTTGGAACACCAACTGTATCTACAGATGGAAGAGTAGCTGTCGGAATTTGAAGCCCTGCAATACCAAGTCCAGCAAAACCAGGAACAGAGGTAATGGGAGGAACAAGAGAAGAAATTCCTGGTGCAGCTCCCAGGATTGGTGCCATTGGTAAGGAAACACCAGCGCTATTGACAGCGGTTGTGCCTAAGGGACCAGTAATACTGCAAGCAAAGACAATGTAAGACTAATGAAAACAAATCAAAGTACACCAGCGTGCTAAAAAAAGACAAACCTTGATGCAGTTCCGCTACGGTCCAATTTCTGCATAAGCATTGCTCGAGAGCGGGCATTCAATGACTGTAAGATTATCAAAACAATTCAATTAGGTCAAGCAAAAAATTATGCAGTGCAGATACTCTTTAGTAATCTCGTTCTATTCTAAACTGCCCTTTGCTTTGTAGTGCTGATGTCAACAATCCCTTGAGAGGCAATGTAAAGCAATGAGGGAAAAAGTGCCGAAACCAGTAAAACATTAACATAACTCATGAATGGTGTGTTATTTTGAATTATCAAACACACACAGCCATCGGAAATGAGCAATATTACTTACCAAGCCACCGCCTTCATCGTCATCAAAATCACCAGCATTTGCTCCAAGATCTTGCATTCCAGCTTGGTCTGTAACAGCCGACACCTAAATAAAAATGAGGATTCCGGTAAGTGTACTTCCAAATAATATTTGTTTACATTAACTCATCCTTTTACAAAATTTGTATGTGAATGTAGTTAAGTACCAATGCAACGACTTTCTTTTGGAAAACTGAATCTAAAGCAACCGTCTAAGTGTCACTCTGATCCACCCAGTTCAAATTAAAATGATGGCAGTTAGACACATCACCACTACACATATTTTAAATCACAAAAGGATAAACACTTATGCACTCATTTCAGACAATAGTCACAATACTAATGGTATCATCAACAAGTGCTTGTACTTATCTAAAAAATTGCGTTCACCATTAATGTGAACATTATTTACATGCTACTCAGTGTGCACATTAAGAAAACACGAGCTCAGTGCTATCGCACAGTATGCCTGCTGAGTTTTCCTATTTCACAGTGATCACACTGTATAAGCATCACTAATTGGCCAGATGAACTAACATTCCAAGCACCACTCATACAACTAGAAGCATCAGAGGCAGGATGTCAAAGAACTAACAAACAGCCTAATTGACGAATTTGGAAAGAGTTCACGACGCAAGCATATCTTTTGGGGGAAAGAAGTACAATAACAATATGATAAAGCGTCATTACCTTAATTACACGACCTGCAATCTCCAATTGCCCATTCAAACTAAGAGCATTTCTAGCATCTTCAAGACGTGCAAACTGCATGCAAGCAACTGATTCAATGAGTTTGATTTATCCGATAAACTTGCAAGAAATCATATAAAGTATCTGATACGGACAGCTGGAAAGGAATTGGTGTGCTATGCTACAATAAGTAAAAGGGGAAAAAATAACTCAAATAACGGTTTTTATTTTTCCTTCCAGAGGGGGCTGGTTGGTGGTTGGTTAAAAGCCAATTCTAATTTCCAACTCAAGCTATAATGAACCGGCATACAGACAGATATATTTATTTTTTTATCCACGGTTGGTTAAGATGCAATTTCTAGTGAAACAGACCTGCACAAATCCAAAACCTTTGCAGTTGTTAGTTTCATCATGAGGCAACTGAACCAGTTCTACAGGACCAAATGCTCCAAAAACCTGTATAAATAACAAATATTAAAGATTGAAATACTCAACCGAGCCAAAATACAAAAAAGCAGCAATACTTCCAAAGAAAAACAGAACCATGAACAAAAGTGCTCAGAAGAATTATCACCAAGAGCAAGCTCAATTATATAACATAATGAGATGTCAACATGAGAACCAAGTCACAAAACTACTCACCTGGCGGAGATCATCTTCTTTTATATTGGTATGGAGATTTCCAACATACAGCCTTCTAGCTCCACCAGAATATGGGCCTATCATCCCACCTGGTCCAGTGACAACAGATGTTGTTGACTGAACTAGATTCTTCTCAGCCTCTGATGGCTTCACCATCACTGGTTGACCAAGAAGAGGCTGACCAGAGAGTGCGATCGCCATAGGTACTGACATCGCATCATAAAACTCAATATACCTACAAACTAGACAACATTAGATCTTGAATGATTTAAACCTAACTGCCACATACAGAAACATGTAAGCTAGATTTTACTGCAAGTTCCAAACATAGTTCAAATACGGGGAGAGAAATGTCCTTTATATGATCATATGACCAGTCGGAATAACCTACACTATATGCATTGCATTTAGACAAAGGAGATCTGTATCACCGTAAATTTCCAATGGTGATGGTACAAAATTCTAACATTGTGAATGGTCTAATGAAGCCGCGTACTGAATGAGAAAATGAAAATAAGGAAAGTACGCCCATTGAGAAGGAAGAACTGGCAGCCATTCCAAAACCAAATTCCAACAGAGATCAATCGACTTTAAACAGGATAGTTTTATTTGCACCATAGAATGTAACCATAGCATCTTGTCAACAAACCAAATGACTTTAAACTCTCGCACCGTCTTAAACCCTACAGTGCCTAAATGTGTAATTCTATTCTTAAAGTGAACTTCTCTTAACGACCAAAGCTTTTACCACCAAGATAGAAGAAAACCTACCCAACTCCCTTCGAACGTCTTGAATTGCGATCCATAATAAGACGTACATCGCGGACCTGAAACACAAATCACAGCTATTAGATTAACAGTGATAGAAATACACTTACAACTACAGCCACAGCCAAAGAATGACATAAATAGAATATCAAATCATTATGGGTTTCCGCTTATCAGTTAAGTTGAAGCAAGGACTAAATCAACAGAAACTTCTTAATTGATACAAGTTAACGCTTTAAATCAAGTCCCTTTTAGCTATATAGTGTAGAAGCTTTATCATCTATGATTTGCTAAATGAACATGATATGGATAGACGTGAAATGAACAAACCTTTCCAGCCCTTGAGAAGAACTCATATACATCTCTTTCATCTGCCTTCAAACAAATCTGTCAAATTTGTTCACCAAAATGTTGTTGTTATGATATACGAACCTGGGAGATAGAAGTTCAAGATAACACAATAGAATGCATATACAAATGTATTTGCTATACTGATAAGCAAATACTGTCCTTTGATCTCTCTCTGGATCAGACTCTGGTTCTGTCCCTTCTTCCTTTTTGTCTTTATGTCTTCTGCAGCACAGAAATGAGAAATTGACAAGACATTAATGAGTGGAGAACACGTCAAGAAAGAAGAACATGTAAAGATCAAACATAAAGTATCCTTGGATCCTGAAATAGAAAAAAAAATCCTTAATTGGCAGAGAAAACAACCTGAGTGATACCTAGAAAGGAATCTGTTATTTAATATATAATAAAAACCAATCTGTGGTACAATATGTCAATTGAGTGAAATTCGTATATTTGGTGTTAATTGCTAAGCAGGTAATGCATGCAATCCAACTTCAAAAAATGGATTAACAGATCGGTACCTTCTATACACAATATAATGTTAAATGAAACAGCACCATCAAGTTGTATGGATGGCGGTACCAAAGGACCTAGTTGCAATTATTTGGAAACTGTTAGAAGCTATTATTCCAGAGAGAGAATCACAAACACACAGAACAAAGTAATAACCTATAAACTGAAATCACATTCTAAATCTATTTGCAGTCACACCCAAAACGTCACTTTAAAATGATGCAATTTTTATAAATGTGACTCTCAAAGAGAGCTCAAGAAATACCCAAAGGTGAGGCCTGTAAGATGAGCAATCTGCATAAGTTTCTCAAAAGAGGGAATAAAAGCTTGTACGTGAGTATAATTTTTTGTACATATACAGGCACATTGGGTAAAATAATAGCAGGTATCTAAGCTTGCAAAGCTACAAAAGTCCTCTCCGGAGCCAATGATCACAAAAAGAAAAAAAAAAAAACTTCCAAAGGTAGCAAAGGTCAGCCTAAACCCTAAAGGCAAGCAATCAAACACGTGAAAATAAGTATACATATACACACTAAAAAAATGACAGCCAATCTTGTAACCACTGAAAACTGAATTTCCCATAAGCACCAGAAGATGAGATACTTCTCTAAGCAAAGCCCATCTCTCCCCCTACCAGCATTTCTGCAACAGAATAAATATAATTAAGCAACGGAGTTCAGAAGGAGACGATAACGAAAAGCATTACATGACATCACCACCGTGGTCAAATTCTCCAACATTGAACCCTCAATCTTGCATTGCAAGCTTCTAAATAGAGTCCAGAAAGTTTAGAAGAAACACTTAAGACCCATGACCTGAGCTGTGCCTGGCCCAATTGCCAGAAAGACCATCTGATGATTGCTCTAGCATATCTGCGAGTTCCCAGAATCTAGTGTTCAATATTCAGAATTTCTAAGGTTGTTAAATATAAGTAACTTATGAAGCTAAGTATGACAAACTGAGAATATTCATTTAAACAATAGCATGAACCCACTTATCCAAGCTGGAAAATACTTGGGAGGAAAGAAATAACAATCTAGGGCACAGAAAAGGTGATTATATGTTCAAGATGGATACAGTTCCACATCCAGCACAGAACCCATGTGAGACTAGGCTGAATAAAAACAAAAGGCAAGCAACTTAATAATAGAGCAATCAGAGACTACAAATAAGTACACAACTGGTTCACTGTCAAGTGAGTTGACCACTTAGCAAAAAGAAAGAAAGTTAGTTACCAAAATGCACCCGGACATAACTTTTTTCAGCAGACAACGTCTCCATTAACTTCAAATGTTCCTATAATGAACAGGATTCTCTTTTTGCAGATAAATTTCTCCCCAAGGTTCTTACCAACACTATAAATGCAAAGCAGCTCACCAGCTTCAGTTTTAGAACATCAAAAACGAAAAACTTGAATGAACTTCAATCTAGAAAATCATATTTAGCAATTTGGATCAGTTTGGCCTGAAGCCCTAATACTAATTCCTGGGTTTGTGATGACACAGAGACACCACAAAGAGCAAATATAGCATATAATACACAAACACAACCATCCTAACCATCAGCCCTTTTCCGAAATTGTCACATTGATACTTAAGTGCACAGAGCGAGCAACTAGATGGTTACCCCAACAACCAAAAATGCTCCCATTATAAATGGCATGTACAAATGAGAGAAAAGGGAAGAGAGAAAAATACAGATGCCTGTCACAGGTCCTGACACCCATGTAATCCACAAAAGTGTCATTTGTGGACAACAGCCCGTTTGAACTTGTCGCATACAAATACGCATACATAAAAAAGAAGAAAAAAGAGCAAACTAGAAGATATTGACGCCACAAAAAGGTATGGTAGACACTAGTAACAAAAAGTGCACCAACAAAATTCTGACAAAGGATTCTCACTAAATGCCTCTTTGGCCTCGAAAACAGATTTTCACAAAATTTTTCACCATAACTTTTTGAAGCGTGCTTGGTCCATGATCCTAATTTCAACAAATTGAGAAAAGAGACAGCTCACATTGTTCCAAGACATTTCAGAGGTCCAAAATTAGCACCAAACATACTTAGACCAATTCAAATGGTTGGGTAAAACTCAAAACTCAGCCACTTGCGGAAATACCAACAACTACCTTTTTTATCGCATGATGTCCAACCAATGGTCCAGATTCAATTTTTTTTATATCAAATTTATAAATACATTAAATCCAATGGTTGAGGTCGAATATGAGCAAATGCAACAGTAAAATATAACAACCCAAAAGTAAATCCAACGGCTAAAACAATTAAAAAAATTATTTAAATCAAAATTCACCCGAAAACTCTATAAACACCTATGTATTTGTTCAAACACCCACACAAAATTCACTTTCGTCAAACATCTTCCGTTTTTTTTTCTTTCTACCCACCTAAGTATTTGTGTTTACAAATGGGTAGGTTGTGTGGTTTTTCATGTTCTTTCATTTGGTGCATGTGTAAGAATGAGGTAGGTTTAGTGATTTTTCATTTATTATTGGAATTTAAATATTTTTATGTGAAAATGTTCATAAAAGTAAATTAGGATAATCTACATAAACTTTATTTTAAAAAAAGTTACCAAAAAAAAATTTGGCTAAAATCATTCTTTAATAATTTCGCACTAAAATTTTAGGCCAAAACCATTGGAGGAAAAAATTTGTTTCGGGTTTAAAAAATTAGGTATTAACCCTAACCATTGGAGTTGGTCTTAGAGGTGCATTATTCTTTGAAGCATGTTATACTCTTTGATCCTCAAGTAAAAGCATAATATACTCTTGGACTGCTAATACTACCATCCTTTAGATCCCTGATTCATAAATAGAAAAGCACTAATGCATTACCAAGAGCAATCCCTTCAAAATGCATATCTAAAAAAGGGACTGCGTTGGGTCTCTCATAGGAACTATTGTCTAAATCAGCTGGGAACGGAAGGAGAGCACCATCCAACATTTTATAAATAGGCCCACATATCCTCTCCCAAAATAAGGCGCATTATTATGAGAAACAATATCATTCCTCCATGCGATTAATAGCACTAATGGTAATAAGCTCATGCAATGACTTTGCCAGTTGCCATCAATAATTTCCATTGCTACAAAGGATGGTGGTCCTCCAAAAATAAATTCTATAGTCTGACAAAGAATTTAACTGCCACAAAGCTAAACTATATGAATCGAAAGAATACCTGTTTTCTTTTTCCCGCTCCCTCAAATCCCTCTCCTTATCTCTTTCTTTATGCTCCACCTCCCGGCTCCTTTCTCTTTCATCCCGATCACTTCGATGCCTTTCTGAATGGCTCATGCTTCGACGTGGTGGCTCTTTATCCTTCTCCCGGTCCCTGTCACCCTCGCGGTCACGTTCTCTCCTGTCTCTATCACGATCGGGATCCCGCTCTTTGTCTCTTTCCCTGTTTCTCTCCTTACCATTTCTTTCCTCCCTTTCTCTGTCTTCCCTACCTCTATGATCCCGGCTACTCCTGTGGCGATCCTTTTCTCTGTCTCTGGACTGTGAGCGGTGACGAGAAGATCCCCTCTCTCTGTGCCTATCATTACCACGTTCACGGGACTCATCTCCAGATTTTGAACGCTTTGAGTGACGCTCCTCATCGTGACCCTTCTCGTCACCTTTATGCCTTGAACTTCGGCTGCGACCTTTCTCTCCAGATTTTGAAGCTTCCTCACCACCATTCACAGTTTCTTTTGATTTCGGGGGTTCAGGATTTTCAACTGTTTTCTCTAAATAATCATACTCATCAAAATCCATCAGACCTCTCGTCTAATCAGAATGTAGCACAAATAACCTCACAGGTAAACCTCAGTTCTGGCGATATCTGCAACAATCGACAATAAAAAATCAATGAGCAGAACAAAGAGCTTCTAAGCACTAAGCCTGCAGGTAGCCGAAAGTAACCAAATTTAAACATTTTAAACTCTATAGTTTCTGTACTTTGCACAAACCGAATAACCCAATATAAAATAAAATTCTAAAACATATCCCCAATAAACTGAGTTCTCATGGAACTATAATTTATCAAATGTCCAGATTTATAACACCTAACAACTTAAGTAACCAAAACCTTTATCTTTACCAGAATTCAAATAAAGTACCAATCACAACACTCAAAAAGCAGATTAAAACAAAATTAAAGCAACTAATTACAGTCAAATTATCTGCCTTTCGAACCAACAGTGGCAAAACCGCAGCAAAACCTGTACCAACAGTCCACTTTCTCCTTTTACCATCTCCCGAACCCAAACCCTAAATAAATCAATAAACAAACATGGTGTTAGAGTGTTACTGCGAGCTCGAAATCTTTACCTCCAGTGGAGCTACGAGTAGAAGAAACAGCAAGAAGAAGGAGAAGAAGAAGTAAGAGGAGAATTGCAGTTGCAGAGCCGCAGACGCCGACGCGGACGAAGGAAGAGCTGTGTGACTGTGTCTCTGTGTGGTTTTGAATTGAGAAGTGAGAGGATTTGGTCCGAGCTTGATTTTGAGAGGGTGTCTCGCTCGGGCTAACTGTGAATCTGTGAATCCGTGATGTGTAAATGGGGGCCCGGGTCTCATTAGGTTGCTTTCGTTTTAACCGGGTTCGGAGCCTTGAATAAAGCGTGGATTAGCATAGGGCCCAATGAACTTTTCAATTTTTATATGGGTTTGATTTGAATTGGACACGGCTCGGTTTGATTGGTTTATTGGTCAAACAAACCGCTGCACGGATTGTAGTAGGTTGAACACGGTTCGGCCGGATTGGTGTTTACTGGTCAAACCCACCGCTGCACAAACGTCTGAAGCTAAAAAAACTTACTACGTTGAGATGGACTGAGACAATCTTTTACCACTTTCTCCACTGAAAAGCTTCATCGGCTTGTATAGACATCTTCCCCTCCGTTACAAGGGAATTCGAATCTTGCTCCCTCCTATGTATGTAGTTCCTAAGGCCATCTCCAAACGATGGCTGGCCAAAGGGCTCTGTGAACACAGAAAATTCCTGAATCGAAAGAGACAAGAACGACGTGCACAAACAAATATTTGTATTTTGATGATTTTTTGTTACAATCTCTCTCTATTTTGACCCTCTGATTCGATCTCCGTAAGGTGTTGATTTGTGGATGTTTCGTTGATCCAAGGGCCGTCGAGGCTTGATCTTGGATGAACTGTTGGAAGTTTCTTCAAGGGGCCGTGGGCTTGATCTTTGAAGGTGGATTTGAGCGGATCTTCAAGGAGCCGTTGGGGCTTGATGTTAAGGATGAGTGTTTCTTCAAGGGGCCGTGGGCTTGATCTTTGAAGGTGGATTTGAGCGGATCTTCAAGGAGCCGTTGGGGCTTGATCTTGAGGATGAGTGTTTCTTCAAGGGCCGTTGAGGCTTGATCTTGAATAACGGTGATGAGCGGATCTTCAAGGGCTTTTGGGCTTGATCTTGAAGAACAGTGATGAACGGATTTTCAAGGGCTTTTGGGCTTGATCTTGAAGGTGGATTTGATCCAATGGCCGTCGGGGCTTGATCTTGGAAGAACGAAGAACACTCTCTTCAAGGGCCGTCGGGGCTTGATCTTGAATTGGTGGATGATTGTTGATCCAAAGGGGCCGTTTGGGCTTGATCTTGGATGAATGATGAACGAAGAACGAAGAAGGCTTTCTTCAAGAGCTGTTGGGGCTTGATCTTGAAGGTGGATGATTGTTGATCCAAGGGCCGTCGGGGCTTGATCTTGGAAGAACGATGAACGAAGAACGAAGAAGGCTTTCTTCAAGGGCCGTTGGGGCTTGATCTTGAAGGTGGATGATTGTTGATCCAAGGGCCGTCGGGGCTTGATCTTGGAAGAACGATGAACGAAGAACGAAGAAGGCTTTCTTGATTCTTCGAGAACCTGGATGCTTGAGAGCTTCGGAGTTTCAGAGCTTCAAGGTGTAATATGAATTGGTTCCCCTAAATGAATGAATTAGCCTTCTATTTATAGAAATTTCAAGGCCTAATTTTGAATATAATATTCCAGATGAAATAAGTCGTTTCTGCCAGGTGTTGACACGTGTCCTGTTTGATGACTTTTCCAACTTATTTTGATTTTTTGTTTAGACACACGTTACGTGTAAAATTTATGTAATACATGAGCGTTGAAACTTTGATTTATCGGTCAACATTTATTTACCGAAATTTTCGATGTCTACAAATGCCCCCCACTTTCAAGGCGCGTTATATACATGTGTTTGTCGCGTGTAGGAGATGCGTTTTGAAGTCCCTTAATGTAGATGTCAATCCAAGGGCCATCGAAGCTTGATCTTGAATTGGGTTGGAGATTTCTTCAAAGGCCGTCAAGGCTTGATCTTGAATTTGTTTGGAATTTCTTCAAGGGCCGTTTGAGGCTTGTTCTTGAACTTTTGTTTGAAATTTCTTCAAGGGTCGTCGAGGCTTGATCTTGAAGGTTGAAATTGGACCACAAAGAGCTTCATGTGGTAGATAATCTTTGGCTTTAGTAGTGGATGAATCGGCACGTATTTGTTTTTGTGATTTGTTGACTTTCCACAGCTTTGATCTTGAACTGGGTTGGAGGATTTTCTGGATTCCTCCAATTGTTGATTTTCCATAGCTTATTCTTGAACTAGGTTTTGATTCAAGAGTGGTAGACACTTGATCTTGAATCGGACTTGTGATTTCCTCAAGGGCCGTCGAGGCTTGATCTTGAATTTGGCTGGAAACTTCTTCAAAGGGCCGTTGAGGCTTGATTCTTGAAGGTTGACTCGAACACATGGCAAGCAGGCACGAGGTGAAGGTGACGACTTGTTGCTCTGTTCAATCTTTCTAATTCACACCTGAGCAGTTTGGTCAACGGTATGATCTTCAAGATTGATGGGCTCTTTTTTTCCAGTTGGTGACTTGATCTTTAAGGATTTGATTCAAGGGTGGTGAAACAGCACATGCAGTCCACAACGCCTAGTAAGTCGACCCAAGAATTTGAGGGTCAAAATGAGTTCACCGTCCAGAGTGATTGCAACCCTGATGATATGAGATACTTTTGATTTTGAAGAAGTAGGGGATGAATCAGCACGTGCTTTGTTGCACTTGTCTCCACATGCTTCAAGGTATCATTTTCATTTCCTTTATCTGTTCCTCAGGCAGATGTGGCATCTTCTCGAGTTCCTCATCTCAAACTCCTTCTGCTGAGTTGACTGTGCAGGCTGCATTCTTCTCTGCTTGTTTCTTCTGCACGTTGTCTCCACATGCTGCAAGGTATCATTTTCACTTGCCTTATCTGTTCTTCAGGCAGATTTGGCAGCTTCTTTGGAAGTACAGCAGCAGTGGGAGACGAGTACTCGAGAGCAGTGCTAAGTAGGCAATCAGGGAAGGGTTCCAAGCAGTCGGTTCCTTACCCGAGTTTGAGTGGAGGTTCCGGCATATTGTTTTCTTTATCCTTGTCTTTGTAGGTAAGAACAAGGACAAAGGAAATGGGAAAAAGCATGATATGAGATACTCTTGCTTTCTACCCTGGTGATATGAGATACTTTTGCTTTGGAGTCATTTGCTTGCAGAGGTACCCCAAGGAATAAGGAACAATGAGTGACTCGAGAGGCTTCTTTGGGAAGGCATTCTCGGAGATGAAGAAAGGTTCTCAGAGATGAAGGAAGGTTCTGTATGTCTGCCTTGTTATGGAGGGTGAATGTGGACAGTTATAGGAAGTTTTTTTTTTAATACCTGTAGAGGTATTATTCTTTCACTCGTGTCGGCAACCATTGAGTGATTGATCAGTATGGCTTCACGTGTTTTCTTCTTCAACAGAAATCTTCGATAAATTGTCCGTAATTTCCGCCAAGCTGAGTGTGCATGTGACAGGTGTTGACGAGGCTGAAAAAGACTGACGCCTCTTCGATATCTGGGATCGGCGCTTCGACAAATTGCCCGTGATTTCCGCAAAGCTGAGTTTGCGCGTGACGGGTGCTGATGAGGCTGAAAAAGATTGGCGCCTCTTCGATATCTGGGATTGGCGCTTTAACAAATTGCCCGTGATTTCCGCAAAGCTGAGTTTGCGCGTGACGGGTGCTAACGCGTCTGGAAAAGCAAGACGCGTTTGGAAAAGCAAGATGCTTCTCCGATTTCTGAGCTTGCCTCCTCGATTTTTGAATTGGCCTCTTCGAATTCTGAGCTCGCTTCTTTAATCTCTGAAATCCCGTCGAGTGTTGATTTTTATAGAGGCACACAGTTCGTTTCAAAGCACACTTGAATTTTTTTTTTGCTTGTAGAAAACTCCATTCGTGCACTTCTAAGATCTTGATTTTGTCCGACTTCTTATTTCTTCAACACTTTTGAAAATGTCTGGACCATTCGACCGTCGTTTTGATTTGAACCTTGGTGAAGAGGCAGCCTCGCCTTCTCTAGATAACATATGGCGCCCATCCTTCATATCCCCTACTGGTCCTCTTACCGTTGGGGATTCGGTGATGAAGAATGATATGACCGCTGCGGTGGTGGCCCGGAACCTTGTCACTCCCAAAGATAACAGACTACTTTCTAAGCGGTCTGATGAGTTGGCTGTTAAGGATTCTCTGGCTCTCAATGTGCAGTGTGCAGGTTCTGTGTCTAATATGGCCCAACGCCTATTTGCTCGAACCCGTCAAGTTGAATCATTGGCGGCTGAAGTGATGAGTCTCAAACAGGAGATTAGAGGGCTTAAGCATGAGAATAAACAGTTGCACAAGCTCGCACATAACTATGCTACAACCATGAAGATGAAGATTAGCCAGATGCAATAATCTGACGGTCAGATTTTACTTGATCATAAGAGGTTTGTGGGTTTGTTCCAACAGCATTTGCCTTCGTCTTCTGGGGCTGTACCGCGTAATGAAGCTCCAAATGATCAACCTTCGGTGCCTTCTCCTTCTGGGGTTCCGCCGAGTGATGATACTCTGAATAATCACCCTCTGGTGCCTCTCCGATATGGGGCTCCGCTGAGTACTGAGGCGCCACCTGATCAATGAAGGCTTTTGTTTGTTTGCACTTTTTTTTTTTGGCATGTAAATGTTCCGTCTGTAATTTTTCCAGAGAAATCAATGAAATGGACTTTATTTCTCTCAATGCATTTGTTTTTTTTTTCTTCATGTGGTGCAATCCGCAACATCCCTTTTTTTTATTTTTAATTTATTTTTTTATATATTTATTTTTTTATTTTTTATATTATTTTTTTTTTCTTTTCAGATGGTGCAATCCGCACCATCCCCCCTTTTTTTATTATTATTTTTTTCTTTTCAATGGTGCAATCCGCACCATCCCTTTTTTTTATTATTTATTTTTTTATATTTTATATATATATTTCTTATATTATTTTATTATATCTTTTTTTTTTCTTTTCAGATGGTGCAATCCGCACCATCACCTTCTTTTTTTTATTTATTTGTTTTTTATTTATATATATATTTTTTATATAATTTTTTATTATATATTTTTTTCTTTTCAAATGGTGCAATCCGTACCATCCCCCCTTTTTTTTTAATTATTTTTTATTATTATTTTTTTTCCTTTTCAATGGTGCAATCCGCACCATCCCCCTTTTT